CACCTACCAATGCAGGCCAAGCACTGGGGTGAGCATTTCCCAAAGCTCAGGCGTGACCGCACAGGAACCCAAAGGTGCACTTAACTCCATTCTGCGGGTGAGAGCTGCAGGTGACGGAGGCGCCTTGTCTAAGGCGCTGTTTCCCAACTGGGTTTTCCATTGGCACCTCTTCAAGGGGCTCTCATAGACATTTTTTCCCCCCTAACTGCCACCTCTCAGTGAAATTTTAGTGCCAGTCACAAACTCGACATCTGTGTGTATCTGTGCTTTATACACAGAAAGAGTTTTTCACCCCCCAGGAGCCCATTTTGCCCTCTGGGGATGACTGCGTCCTGTTAACACGTGTTCTAAGGTGACCAAGGTAGTAAGTGAGCGGGGAGCTGGGCTCCGGACCCAGGCTGTCCGACCCTGGTCCGTGGGCCTCCTTCACACACACAGTTCTCCTTGTCTTGCCCTCCAGCAGCCTTGGCTCCTTCAATGCCTTTTCACTGTCCTACGGATAAGCCCATATCCCTGCAGGTGGCATCTGTGGCCTTCAGGACCCAGCACCTGCTGTCCTCAGACTTGCTCCTGTGACACTACCACATACACTTGCTCACACTAGGCCAGGCTCTCCCTCTCCAGACCCTGCCTCCACATCCCCCGCACTGGCTCCTGGGCCTCAGGACCCTCCAGGGAGCTTTCCTGGGCCCTGTGCGCGGTCACAGCAACCTGGACTTTCTCCTTTCAAATCCGCTCCACAGCCTATCGTATCGACTCCACTGCCTCTGCCACTGGACTGAGGGCTTGAAGGAAAGACCCTCACCCCGAGTCACCGGCCTACCACGGTGGTGGCAGGTGCTCCTAAGCACAGGTGAGCAGTAGGATCGGCAGGGGGTCCGACGCCCATGCGGCAGGAGAAACAGCTTTTATACAACAGAACACTTCAGACTGCTCCCTGCACTCTGACCTGCAGTTGGGATGGGACTGCGAGCGACCCCGGCTTTTCCAGTCTACAGCCCACGCAGGACACCAGCGTCCTAGCAGGGACCTGAGGCTGGCCGCGCTGAGCTCGCAGGCCCCTCGTTTCTTTCCCACTGTTCATGCGTGCATTTCCCTGCTAGCCAAGTGGGACTTTCATTTCCCAGTGGAAATCCCTTCCCTCCTGATCCAATGTGCCAGCCTATTTTAGAGGGGACAGAACCATGTCTGCCTGCCTAGTACCTCTTTCCGGGCCTTGGTGGTCCCTTTGGGAAACCACCCCTTATCCAGCTTCAGCGCATGTGGTGCTGATGGCGGTGACCTCCCTTCTGTGCTCTGGAGTTAAATACAAGACTCAGGCCTGACAAGAGTCTTCAGTCCCTCTGCCCACCAGAGGGCCCTGGATGGACAAACAACCTGAGTCAGTCCTAAGAGACATCACCTCGACATTAACTGGAACATCTGGAGATGAATTCCCTTTCCACTGGGATGGGGGCATTTAAATCCAACAGGGGCTGGGGGCACCAGGTGGGAACAGCGGGCCTGCCTGGCAGAGCAGACCACACAGAAAGCAGGTCCCAGAGGCTGAGACAGAAAACAGAGACGGCCAGAGTCCTGCTGCCCTTGCGCCAGCTCCTGAGTCCATCTGTGCCTGAGGCTCCTGAACTTTTTAATTCCATGAATCACACTTTTTTTCCTTCTTGGGGCTATGACAGTTTTAAATAGATGTTTGTTAATTGCAACAGAAATGGGACCAACACAGGATGAGAACTCCGCACACTGCTTAGCTCACAGCTGGCATCCAACAAATGTTAGTTCCCTCCCTTCCCTGCGCTGGTCAAAGCAAGCAGGTGAACGTGACCATCAGGCACCGGCCCACGCGCCCACGATCCCCACTCCGCTGACTTTGCTGAACACCAGTCACGCTCAGCCTTCACAGTATGTAGGTGTGAGGCCTACATCCTGATAATTAAATAAGCTTTGTGTTCTAGAGTGAGGATGCCCTGTGTCAAGACCAGGTCCGCCACCTCCTGCAGTACCCTGGGCAAGTCACTTAACCTCCACGACCTTCGGCTCCCTTACCTGAAAATGGGGACAGCAAGAGCCCCTACCACACAGATCTGTGTAACAATCACATGAGATGGTGCCACCCCAATGCTTGGCACAGGGCCTGGTACTAAACGAGAGCTCGGAGGACACTCGCGAGCACTAACACCATCGTACCAGGGGAGCTAGTGGAGAAACAACTCGAGAAATTGGGTTTCGTTTTCTACTATTTCACGAACCATGAAACTGCAGTGTTGACAACCCTGTGCGAACACACTCAGAAACCAGAGCAGTAGCCGCAAAGGGCCAGCCTTTGTTGTAGGAACGGCCACCACAGCGAGCTGGTTTCAACCCCCGGGCGCCAGGCCAGGCGGCTTGGATCGGCCTCAGCGCTCTGCTTCCGTCACGTCCGTCCGCCCGTCACCCGCTCTCGAGGGGCCTCCAGTGGAGAAGACACGCCCTGTCGTCGCCGCTTCAAACCTGCTCCGCCAAAGGGAAGCACACGTCTCTTCTGCATTTACCAGTTTTGTCTGTGAGCTCCCGATGCTTCCTTCTTTCACATGAATGAAAAGAAAAAGGCTGGACAGAAGAAAGGTCCCTGGCACCGCGAGGCTGCTCCCATGCTCGGCCAGCTCGCCGCCAGCGCCAGTTCAGCCTGCGCTCGGCACTGGGGCACATTCTCCACTCGCCTTGCGTGCGCCTTAGGGACCGGGCAGGCTCCAGGCCGAGTGTACTGGATGATGTTTAAAGCTCTGGCTACTTGAAATCAAGCTCTGAATATACATATCTATACGGAACAAAGTACAAAGAGTTGTATTCTTCTCGTTAGAAAATGACGTCTTGAATGGAAGCTCCTGAAGCTCTCTTTAGTGCATTTCACAGCCCCTTCCTACGAGCAGCCTGCAGTCAGCATGCACGCTCAGGCCAGCCTGGTCTGCTCGCCTGCTCCGCCAGAGATCTGTTCTGGGGCGGGCAGGGGACCAAGGTGTGTCCATCAGGAACAAACCTGAGGTTTTTGCCAGAACTGCTTGGAACATGAACTTTTTAACACTGAGGCTGCTAAACTAGGGTCACCCAGCCTGTGGCAGCTGTGGCACCTTGGCTCCTGCCTGGGGGTCTGAGACTAAAACCACACAGCACTGAGCAGAGCCGAGAGCTGCTCGTGCAGACCTTTTCTCTGCTTCCACGTGCTCAGTTAAACCCACATAGCAGCCTCCGTTTACCAATGGGCTCCAAATACTTGTCTATAAACCACTTTGTTTGGAGAAGGGATTACAGAGGTGAGTCTAGCGATCCCAGGCTCACCCAGAAACACAATGCAACTCATAATCTGGCTGCTCTGTAGCATTAACAGTGTTACGGTTACTGTTAGATGCCTGGGGAAGCCCGAGATGACCCTTCCTGTTCCTGGTTCTGTTCCCTTGTTCTATCTGAAAGCAGACCCGAGCACCTACGATCAATCTGTCAGCAGCTTCTGTTGATCTTCAGTCAGTTCCCTTCACCGGCACTGCTACCCCCATCTAAGCACCATCACTTCCTTCTTGGACTAGTTTAGTAGTCTCCTAACTGGTCTCTCCACTTCTGCCCCTGGTCCAACTCAGTCTCTTTGCAACCCAGCAGCCAAGTAATCCTGAAGTCAGATCACAACACTCTGTGTACCAAACCCTACTTATCTTAGAGTAAAAGGCAATGTGTTTACAATGGCCCACAAGGCTATACTTGACCCAGCTCCCCTCCACCTTGTTTCTTCCTGACACCCTCCCCTACCACTCTCCCCATACTCACATGCTCCAGCCACACTGATCCGCTGCTATTCCTCGAACATGCCAGGCATGCTCCTGCCTCAGGGCCTTTACACCTGCTGTTTCCGCTGCTTGCAACTCGTCCCAGGTGGAACACATTTCCCTTCTCCTCTAGGTCTCTGCTCAAATATCGCTTGCCAGTTAGGCCTTCCTTAACCACTCTGAACACTCATCCCTAGCTAGGCCCTAGCATGCCCCTCCCTTTTCAGATTTCATTTTCTCCATTACATACTTAACACCATCTTGGGTATTATATATTTTACTTACTAGCTTTGTTTACTGCCTGTCTCCCTCACTAAAATGTAAGCTCCATGAGAGCAGGGATTTTTGTCTAGTTTGCTTAATTTTATATCACCAGGGCCCAGAAGAGTGTCTGGCCCATAGCAGGGGCTCAAAAAGGACTGAATGAACAGAAAGCAGGGAGGGATGGAAATAAGACCTGTTCCTCGCTGACGATGCCTGTTTGATAAAGGGCAGAACCCTTCTACATTTGTCTGAGAGGTGAAAGCAGCCAGGCCAACCAAGTGGGCTGCCTGCCTCACTCAGATAAAACTGACTGGGAGGGTAACTGAGAAAACACCGAACTTCCAAGCAGGAGCTGCCAGCAAGCAGGCTTCCTATGGGAAGCAGTGAGAACTGGTACAGGACAATGGTGATATAAGGATGGCTATCAGCTGCTTTTATCTTACATATATTAAATGCCATATAATATGCTAACTGTGTTCCTATCACTCGATTTTCAGCAATAAGCTATAGAAAAAATGAAGGTTGAAGAGTTCTTATGTGGATATAATAGTGAGGCACTGTCTCAGAGAAACTAGAAATGCTATGACACTTATTAACTCATTTGGCAGGTTTAGACACTAAAGCTCAAAGTGCAACTGGGATTGTATCCAGCAAGTAGCAGGGCTGGGATGTGAACCTGGATCTCCCTGGTTCCCAAACATAAGCCCGTTGGGTACTTTCCCCCCAGAAGCACATGGTAAGTGCCTTGACCTCAACAGTGGCTCTACCTACCAGCTTCTTCCAGATACAAGCAGCTCTCCCAGGTGTTGACACAAGCAGCACTGCAGCTGCCTTACCTTTCAGAATAAAGGGGCTACGGGTTCTGCTCCCCGCAGGCCCCCCCCAGGGCAGCGTGCTTCCAGCAGACCCCCTCCCCTCCCCCCAGGCCCTGCCCAGCTCACTCACCTCCAGTAAACGAGCACAGCAATGAGGAGGATGAGGCACACAAAGGTCAAGGCTGACACCACAATCAGCGGGATGATCCACTCCATCCGTCCTGGAGAAGGGCGGCCTGCCATCCCAGAGGTGTTCTTTTCTGCTGCAGAGAGAGACCACGCCAGTTAGAGGACAGCCGGCAGAGAGGGGAGCCAGGGGACCCAGAGTCCTGCTCGGGTTAGGGTCTGGATGGCAGCCCAGCCCAGCAGGGCACCCACAGGGCTGCCATCAGCTCCCAGCACCCAGATCCCTGGAGATCCTGCTTCTCCTCAAATTGGGCCCTACAGCGTTTCCTCTGATTTCATTACCCCCACCCCACCCTCCTAAAAGCTCTGAGGCAGCCAAAGACAGGACAGGACGCTCTGCCCCCGCACATGCCTGCCTCTGAGCAGCAGCCAGCCGACAGGGGAGCTGTGAACCGCTCAGGGTTCCCTCTGGCCACCACTGCCTCTTACCCGGGCAGCTCCTTCCCGTGTCTCAGGCCCGAGGATCTTCACAAGGCCCCGGAGCCTCAGGGGAGAACCTGCTCTCTTGTAGCCTGGGGTAGGTGCCTGGAAATCTCCAGGTGGCCCAAATCGAGCTCAGGTGTGGTGTGGTGAGGTGTGGTGAGGTGCGGTGTGGGAAAAGCACAGGTGAGCAGAGGCAATCATGGGAGGCAGGTGGTGAGAAAGCCAAGGGTAACTGTGACTGCAGGGAGAAGCCCTTGGAAAGATCCGAAGCTGGCGGCAGGCTGCTGTGCTAGGCGAGGATCCTCCTGCTCTGCAAAAATGAGGCCAGAGCTCTGCCAGCAAGTCCCTCTCCGGATGGACCCGAGGAAGGGCTAATCAGGCCGGTTTCCAAGAGAGAGAAGGTGGGCCAAGCAGAGAAGTGGCCCTGGGAGCAGATTTTAAAGAGGCAAGGCTGAGTAAGGAGGTGTGTCACAGAGCCGTTCACCGGTTCCCTGAAACATCGCTGGTCCTGGTCACCTTTGTTTCGTGCAGGGCCCTGGGGGACAGGCAGGGCCACATCTGTCCCAGGGAGGACAGGCAGACAAGGCAGGCAGGCAGGTACAGCCCGATTAAGCCACAGCAGAAAACTTAATGGTTATACAGAGCATTCTCCACAGTGGCAGCCCTTCCTCGGGACCCTTAGCTGCACCGTTTGTTGTTAGACAGCTACCGGCAGACCTCGGAGGCATTACAGGTTCAGGTCCAGGTCACCACAATAAAGCGAGTATCACAGTAAAGAGANGACCTCGGAGGCATTACAGGTTCGGGTCCAGGTCACCACAATAAAGCGAGTATCACAATAAAGAGAGTCATCACCTTTCTGCGGGTGGTGGAGAGTCTTGCCTTCAATTTGTAAAAAGCATAACACCTGTGAAGTTCAATAAAGCAAATCGCACAAAATAAGGCCTGTCTGTGTTGGCCAAGCCCTACTATGTGCCAGGCATGGTGCTAGGGGCTGGGGATCCTCCAGAAACACCCTATGCTAGGCAGGGGGAGGGGTATGAACCACTTAAAGGGGGAGAGGCAGACACAGGAACAAGTAATTAGAATAAAGGGAAGGGGGGAATGGCTGTCTTAGCGCAGGGATTCTGGAGGGAGTCACTCCGACAGCAGTTTGATCTCGACCTTGAATGCAAACTCCCTGACATTAGGGTGAGACCTGGGTGTGAGCCAGGCCAAGTGCAGGAAGGACGTGTTCGGGACAGAGAGCACTAAAGCGGTGGGAGATGAGAACAACGGGGAGGGGACCAAGCTGGAGAGTCAGAGGCCTCATCAGCCAGGGCTTTGTTGGCTGAATTAAGAACAGGTTTTAGTCCCAAGGGCAATGGAAACTTCTGCAGGATTGCAAACCAAGGCAGACAAGGATCAGATGTGCGTTCTCTCCCTTCACATAAAGCTTTGATAGCAAAGCTCTGGGGACTGGCCAGAGGAGTCAGTTGCAAATGAGAATAATTTGCAGGGCTCCAGCAGGGGGCAGCCCAGCCAGGCAAGTACCTCAAAGACCTGCAGCTCCTGCTAATGGAAAATAGGGCAGGAGGGTTGACAAAATAGGCCAAGTGTCCAATGAGCTCAGAATCCACCCTGGGAGGCCCGTGTTCTAGAGGGACTCCCAGTGTCGTCTTTCTCTCCCCACCTCCTTACAGAAAGGGATTCCAGCCTGGGCTACTACAGGACAGACAGGAAGGGGAGGCGGCAGAGTGCAAACTCCACGTCCTGCTCATCTCACCACTGAGAAGGACTCTTGGCCAAAACAGTCCCTTTACATTGACATCTCTACACAGTCACTGGAAACAGCAGCTCCGTGGGATTTCTGCCACCCTAAACCAGTCCACAGTGGCCACTCCAGCATCTGGGCCTCAGAGGGGCTTTGGGAGGGTGAATGGCATATTACCTGGTCCCTGAAACCCCATGCGTTGGTCATGTCTGTTCTTCTCCCAGAGAGTGAGGGTAAAGCCTCCATTAGAGTCTCAGAGTTTCAGCAGATAAGACTGAACTGTCGATGTGGACTCATCACTATGGGAGGAGAAACTGAAGGTCTGCAGAGGGTGAGGGTCTGGGTGAAGTCACAGCTAGCCTGGGGCAAGGCTAGGCTCAAACTCAGGTGTCACACCAAGTCAGTCGTCTTTCTGACACGCCCGGGTGCTTGTGTGAGAATTTGGTGGGGGGTGAACATCATCTGAAATCCCACTCTGGATAGTCCCCAGTGGTTTCTGTGGAGATCACAAGTCGACACCAACTTGCAGGGTGAGCGAGGGACCTGAGGAAGTCACTCCGACTGCCGTTTGATGACCTTGACTAAGCAGGCAGTGGGATCTGCCCGGGTCTTTTACAGAAAGGCCAGGCAGAAAGGTGAGTGCCACTGGATTACCATGTGGGGCACGACAGAGTCAGTTTCACTGTCAAATTCACAGTATTGATTTTGTCTTCATGGTACCGGGAGCCTAACGTCATTGTATCCCCACAGGCTCCTGTCCCTCTCCTGAGGACTTCCACTGCCTCCAGGGACAGCAAGGCCCTTGCCTTGTCCCGCTGCTGCCACCATTGTGTCCCAGCCACACCCAGACAACCAGGGACCATGCTGGGCCACAGTCCCGCCTCTTTGCCTTTGTCCCTGCCAATCCCACTGCCAGGAATGCCTTCCCCTTCCTGCCTCAGAAGCTCCTACTGCTCCCTCCATCTGGCTCAGGTGCTACCTTCTCTGTGGGGCCTCCCCAAGCCCCAGCCTACGGTACCTCTGAAGGGCAGAGTGAAGATCACAGGTTCGAATCCTGGTTCTGCCACTTTCTATGTGACCTTTAACCAATAAATTATATCAGTTTGGGCCTGGAGATCTTCACCTATACAATGGGATAAAAGAACCTACTTCATAGGCATGTGGGAAATTCAGTGAGAGTAGACTGCTCAGAGGTTAGCCTGGCACCAAGGCCATGGCTCAGTAAATACCATCATCATCATCACTTCTCTTAGTGCACACACCACACTCAATTGTCTTTTATTATCGTAAGGTCTCCAAATGGGTGGCTGACTTCCATCTGTAAGTGAAGACCTCTGTCTCCTAGTAGCTACACAACTTCAGGCAAGTTGCTTAACCTCTCTGTGCCTTGGTTCTTCCTCACTTGTAAATGGAGATAACAGCATCGCCTACTACATCTTAGGGTTGAGGGCATTGCATGAGTGAGTACATACAAAACACTCAGAATGCCTCCCAGCACCCAAGCCCCTGGTTAATGCCGTCCACTGTGACTGTCATCACTGCACCACCCATAGCATCGCTAACCATCACCATCAGCAGCCTAGCACAGCACCGGTGCACGCAAGGCAATCACACAGGACCTCAGACCTGCTGGGCATTGAGCGCCGGGGCTGCAGGTGAGGAGACTTCTGCGAGGGGCCAGGACCTCAGAGTCTGTGCGCAGACTCAGCACAACACACTTGCCTCCTTCAGAAAAAGCGCCTGTCCTGCTGCCTGGCTCAATCTGTGGCCCAGCAGGCCCTCAGAGGGGGAGGTGTCATAAAAAGTAAACTACTGGAAACCGCTAGGAACAGGTAACAGCCGCCTGGGCTGGCTATGCTTTCTCTCTCCTCCTGAGCCCTCAGTCCCCAGACCAGAACACACTATAAACTTTGCAGTGCAACCACGGTCCTGCACTCCACAGTCAGGCAGACCTGACTACAGATTCCGGCTCAGGCCTTCTAGCTGCGTGTCTTTAGGTAAGTGACTGCCCGTCTCTGAGCCTCTGGCCTCCCCTCTATCAAGAGAGACAGATGATAAGCTCATCTCTCAGGGGACTTACAAGGATTAAATAAGATAATCCATTGGAAGCTGACTGTAGATTATGGCTACATAATTTACAGGACCAGATGCAAAATCAAATCACTGTCCTCTTGTTAAAAAATTACTAGAGTTTCTAGATGGCGACAGGAGGAGAGCATGGAAGCAAGCGCAGGGCCTGAGCGCAGGGCTCTGGGGCTGCACAGGTCGTGTGCGCACAAGGCCCCCCTGACCTGACCCAGAGGAGGTGCCAGAGAAAGTTCGTTTCTCTTCCTTTCAGGGGAACCAAGCAAGTGCTGACAGGGTGATAAAACAGACGCTCCTACCTGTGAGCAGCACCTTGCTTTCTCTTAGCTTCACTTGTAATCCAGCTGCTCCTGAAAGCTCCAGGAGTACCTGATGCCCAGTCACTGGAGGTTCCCTTCGCTCTGGGAGGCCCCCAGTCCCGACACCAGAATGAGCTAATGCAGCCTCCTGTCTCCATCTCTGATTTATCCAGCGGGCTCGGCTTTCCCAGCACGATTAGCCTTCCGACTCCTGCTGCCGTGGGCTGTGTGGACTAGTAGCCCACAGATGTGTCTGGCTTGGTCCCCTCCCCTGCAATTATTACTAAACTGTTAGCGGGCTGCCAACACTTAAAAAGCAATAGAGTTCACATAAAAATCAGCAGTGGAATCGAATCGCCTACCGGAAATGTTCAGGTTGCTAAAAGGCCTGAGTTTCTGGGGGGGTAACATGAATGGGACCCAGCAGCACTCTCCACACAAGGTGTGTGTCACCAGTTCACCGCAGTCCTCACCGCTCCCCAGTGTCACACACCAGACCTGCTTCCCCACCCCCGAC